TTCGTTGCTCAAGCGGTGGAAACTAAGTATAGCGTGGGCCGGTGTACATGACGAGTAGAAATTTGGAGTTCAAGAAATTAAAATTCCTAAAAATGTGTTCCACATAGCGCCGCCCCTGGATGTTTGGGTGTGAATAATAGGTTTGGATATAAAGTACTAATTAAGGCATTAATGAAATGTATAATAAAATAGCTTCCTCCACAGACATTCCAGGACAACGCCCACTGACTATGCAATTTCAGTTATGTTCGAAAGTTCGCGTTATCAGAGCCACAAAATAGAACCATTTTACTGTAACTGCAGGCAAGCAAACGCTGTTATCAATTTCATAAACGTTTTGGGCCTACGCATAACATCCCGCAAACCGCAAGGTACCTTTGAGGTTATATACTACTATATAGGCGGAATTGCGTTTATTTCATTGTCATTGGTTATATGGTACAGATTACAGAATAACAGCTACAGAAAGACAGTTTAAAAATAGATTATATATAATCTTGTTAAAACTGACAGAAATTTCATTCAATAACAATTTTTACCCCCATGAAAAGTCGCTTTACTGCACAAGTAAGCCAATAAATATGCTGACTCATTAGTTTAAATGAGTTTATTTAAAAATACATTTCAAAAGCATATCCCGCTAAGCAATACTGATATGACTCATGCAGTACAATCAACAAAATATCCACGGCCTTTAATAAGTACCATGCAAGGACTCCGAGAATCAAGAGAAAATTAAGCGTCCCAGGGTTATACGAGAATTACAATAGAATTAGGTTATATCTGATATATGACAACTACACATTAATCACATTTAAAAGAATAAATATTCTATATAAATTAGAAAGGATGACAAGAATAATGACTTTCAATTCATTCTTTTCACAAATAACTACAAATTCTCAATGTATATAAAAGAAATGAATATATCTAAAAAGCTTATTCAAATTTAGTTACTTCTATAACGTACCTCAGACTCAGAGACAGAGTCCTAAACAAAAGGCTAAGGTTCCTAGCCCTGAATTTGTAAATCATGATACCTTTTTAAAATATACTATCCGCAAAAATATAATATACTATACTATATAATATACTATATATGTTACGGACGCTACTATAATTAATCTAATTATTTCGCGCCGTTTGTTGACATTAGCATAATTAATTTAGGGCCAGTCTTCGCGAGCGAGGCTTTTTGCAAAACTATTGATATTCGTGATAGATATACAAACGTAATCTGCTTTAAAATCGCCATAAGATGTAAGTATTTCT